CCCAAACACAATGAAGAGATATATAATATTTTTGTTATACTATGGGCTATCTACAACAGTAAAAGAACCAAAACCCCAGAAGACATTGAGCAAATAAATATAACAAACAATAGGGTAAAAATGACAAACTATTTTCATGTCTTCAACCTTTTTTATGTAGGGAAATCGCGCTTTCTCCCGTTCTCTCTAACAGACGCACACACAGTTCAGACACGCACTCGCGCACACATGCGGACAGAGACTTGTGATCAGCGCTACCCCGCGAATTTATCAATAAAACAGTGCAGCTGAAAAGCTACATGACATTTCATACATGACGAGATTCTTGAAGCAGTTCAACTTAAAGATTTGCTATTACTATTAGTAGACGCTGCTGCTGAATACTGCTGAGAGACGCACAGACGCACGTATTCACGCACGCGCACTCTCTCTCTCTCTCTCTCTCTCTCTCTCTCTCTCTCTCTCTCTCTAATAACTGCATTAGCCTGCATTATGGCCTCTGTTATTAGCACTAAAATTGCTTGTTGGAATTTGCAACGGAAGGTTTGGGATGAGGTGCTTAAAAAATTAGTTCAACACACACGAGGTTTCAGGACGGAAACATGTCAAATGTCTTGAAACAAATCATCTGAACAATTGATGTGTGATTGTGACTCCAAGCCGTTAAAATTATTAGAGAAATAATGCACTCCCGAAGTGGTTATGTGGCCACGATCGACGCCGCGCCTATTAATGGAATGGTCTTTCTCAGTTCTCAAACAAATGAGACTATATTCGATTTTTATTGACTGCACGCAAGCGCTTATTGCGATAGAAAACACTGTAACGATTTCACTGATTTAGAAATATTTTTGTTTGCTTGGGTGGTAATATTAGGCCTATTACATTAATAGGGAAGGGGGGCCCAAAGATTTGTTTTGCCTATGTCACGAAAAGAGGTAAATCCGGCCCTGCACACAAGGAATCCTCGCCAGTATACTTTTTATATGGGAGATCAAGGACCACTCCTACAAAAAAATAAAATAAAATAATAAAAATAAAAAGCATTTATACATGCTTTTGTGCACATTTGAAAAACAAAAGTTTACATATAACCAGGCAAGTTCATGACTAAATTGAAAGACAACAGATATTTCCAAGCCTGAGCTTAAAAGCTACTAAAATGGGAATGCAACCATGACAGAAATTAGCCCCAGAGTGAGCAATAACTGGCAGATCAATATGACCAGGGGAAGAGGAAAAGAGAGAAGAAGAAATGTCTTTAGAGCCTCTCCTCTTTAACTGCATCTGTGAGAGCCATCAGATCAAAGTACACAATACTTGTCCCTCAATTGCTCATTTAAGGTTCTAGTGCCTCGAATACTGTAAAACACACAAGGCCAGATGTCACTGAGAGGCTATAACCTTCTGCTTTGAAGTTGTTATAATATGAAAATGAACAAATATGGGCAAAAGAAAATATTGACCAAAAGCTTGCAAGCTGCCCTGCTGTCTACTTCCTAGACTGCTGCCTTCCAAGATGCTGTTCACACAGAGCACATTTTGTGCATGTCAAGGCACTCTAAACATGCACTAGAATAGATGGATGTGTTTGACCATTGCACTCTCTAGACCCCATCGCAGATTTTTTTTTTTTTTTCGTTTGTCCTGCATTTTTAAATGCAGAAACTTGTTCTGTGTGAACAGCAGCTAAGACAGCATACTATTAAGTAACCGATTTGGAGCACATAGGCAGCAAGACCCATATCACTCCACTCTTTCATGCATATGATTATGTGAGTGCCATGTATCCTATTCATTATACTTGCAGACAGACATTCAACCTGTTTCAAAGCTTAATAGAGTTTAAAGCATCATAAGCATGCCTGACACAAATTCAATAATTATGCTTCTTTCAAAGATACAATCCCTAATTTTGGCCTCATTCTAAGGCAGCACTGCACATATCATTCATGTTAGAAGGCAATCTCAGAATGCCTTGCAACAATTAACAATTAATGAAAGAAATGTTGACATAAAAGTAGAAATATAGTTTTTTTAAAAAGTATTGTTATATGACATCTAAAATGATTAGTATGAATGTATGAAGCACAGCTCACAGAAGTCACTTTCAAACCAAGCAACTTTCTTTTAGTAAACACAGCAAATTGGCATGACCAGTTGAACCCAGTGTGAAGCACAAAATTCCCCACCACATAGATTACTATTGAAATGACTTGATTTTGTCAGTGAAAATTCACAGGACAATAGTAAATGTGACTGAACCTTTGAAGTATACATTGTTATCTTAGCAACATAATGTCCAACTGTATTGGAATCAACTGTTAGTAGAATCTTCCTTGTGAAATCCTGTTGGTGTGCCACATAGAGTTACTCTTTCCATCCATTTCTCAGTATTTGTCTCTTCTCTTCTCTTCTCTTCTCTTCTCTTCTCTTCTCTTCTCTAGCAAGGCTCTCTCACATTCTGTGTGTTCCCTCACTGGTATGCTGCATTAATAATGGAGTGGGTGTGAAGCTCTTCCTGCCAGAACATTCTCCGTCATTAATCCCAATATGTAGTACGCTGGAGATCTGACAGGATTCATTTTGGCTGCGGACACGCTCGTGCTCCACTCCACTATACAGCACACATGCGCACACACATTCATAAAACACACGCAGGCTAGTTTTCCCAACGGAATACTAGCTTACTTCTTACTGAATGCAATGCACTGTTTAAAGTATACATTTAAAAAATAGTAAGTCAGCAATATTCCATGATAAACATTTCAAACAGTAGTATGGAACATTATTTATCATATGACTTCAACATGTTGCATTAGAATCGAATTATTACATTGTAAATTAAAGGGGTCATATGATGCTGCTAAAAAGAACATTATTTTGTGTATTTGGTGTAATGAAATGTGTTTATGCGGTTTAAAGTTCAAAAAACACATTATTTTCCACATACTGTACATTATTGTTTCTCCTCTATGCCCCGCCTTTTTGAAACGCGTCGATTTTTACAAAGCTCATCGGTCTGAAAAAGCGAGGTGTGCTGTGATTGGCCAGCTATCCAGTGCGTTGTGATTGGCCGAATACCTCAAGCGTGAGACGGAAATGTTACGCCCCTCACATACTGTTGATGCCGTGACCCGGCCGGAGCGACGAGACATAAACATTAAAACCCATTACAAACGAGGCATTTGTTGCATCCAGTGGGGACATAATTACTGATTATAATGACTTATACTGTCTTTTTATGCGTTGCATCGCGCCGCGTAAACATAAAACCATGTCTGCATTTGTGATCGGAGAAATGACAAACAACAAGCCCTACTCTACACTGCCCAAAAAAACTCGCTTTAAATATATAAAATATAAAAACCGAACTTCCTGTCTTTGAGTCAGAACAGCCGGCATTGTAGTCTACTCTACCAGGATCAGGAAAC